TTTAATATATATATATTAAATGTAGAACCCTTGTGATGACAAGAGACATAAGGACATCTGGTCTAAAGAGAAGACTTGTGATAGGCTGCCCAAGTTCCTTGTTGTCGGACCCCAAAAGACAGGTATATCTCATGATGATGATGACCATGTAACTTACCAGGGTGACTGGAGATGACTGAACCCTTCTCACTGTCATGTGTTTGTGTCATTCCACAGGTACAACTGCACTATACACTTTCCTCACCATGCATCCTGCTGTCACCAGCAATTTCCAGAGCCCGGTCACCTTTGAAGAGATCCAGTTTTTTAATGGACAGAATTACCACAAGGGCATTGATTGGTAATGGTTCTTGTTATACTGATATATTGGGTTTTGGGAAAAAGTAGTATGTGTTTGTTAACTGCTTTAGCGCTCTTGCCTAAAATGCAGCATTTTACTGTGCCGCTATTGTCAAGTGACACCAGTGCACTGTTACAATGCAAGGCACTGCTTTCTTTTTTTCTTAATTTTAATTGGAGTGTACAAACTGTACACTTCATTTAGATCCCTGCACAGCAGTGCCATGACCTGCTGTGCCATCCCTTTGCTGCAAGTAAATGCAAAATATTTTTGGGAAAAACTCTGCTCTCTTTTGTCAATATTGTTTTGCAGAAAAAGAATCCTAGATACGAAGGATGTAAAGAACTGTTTTTTTTTGTTTTTTGTTTTTTTTACTAACGCTGGTCCTAGCAAAGAAAAAGTAGTTTCAATGTACATGAAAAGTATATATTTTATTCTACACTAAATGACACCAAAATGATGTTTCTGGTACAAAGTAAGGCAAAGTTATTTGGAAATGGATAAAAGGTTTTTTTTTTTCTTCCTATTCTGCTTTTTTCTTGTTATGCAACACTGTAAAAAGTAGCCCAACTATATACAATGGTGTATTCAGTAAGGTCCAAACTGTTTATTACATAAAAACAAGCCATATGCACTCACATGTGGCCGTGGGAAGCAGTCCTTGAGAGGAGAGAGCACAGTAGCGTGTGGATGGGAGAAAGCCTTGGCCACAGGCTATGTCTCGGCTGCAAGATTTCATGTGGAATCCTCAACGCCGTCGTAGTCTGTCTGGATTGGAAGGCACACAGTCTCTCGGTGCAGATGATCCAGAGTACAATGGCATGGTGGATTCCACATAACATCTTGCAGCTGAGACATGGCCTGTGGCCGAGGCTTTCTCCCATTTTTACACAGTGCTGTGCTCCTTCTCTGGACTGGTCCCCCCTCTCAATGACTATTTACCACTATCGCACAAACACAAGCGATATACACTTACATGTGACTAACATTTTGGGTTGTCTTATGCCAGATTGGGTCTGTTTGCATTGTGCTCCCTTTCCTTTATCCTTTTAGTGCTGATTGACGGAGCTCCCTCTCTGTTTCCTGCAGACTAGCAGCATTGGGTCCTTTACTCCAGAAACTTTACTTATTAGTTTTCTTGGGCTACCAGGTGTATATTTTGTATATCATTTGTATGTTCATTTATTTATCTGCAATTGTACACACATTGTATCCGCCACTGAGTTATGAATAGTGTGTAAGGTGAGCGCTTGTGTGTGTTTTTCATTTTTCAGCTTTAAAAAGTAACAATATATATATTATTGGTAAATTTAAAAAAATAGCAAAGGGGAAAGAGTTAATTAGGGCTGGTTTGTGTTCATTACGTGCTAAAAGGAGGTAAATAGTAACACATTTAAAGTGCATTTCCACTTTTGCAGCCAATTGTGAAAAATAAAAACTGTTATGTAGTCCTATTCACGTAGCATAACTATTTGTTTGTGAAGCAGGCATATGGGCAGACTGGCAAGCTTTATCTGAACAATTTCAAAGTGACAGGAAATACGGTCTGTCCCCATAGAAAGACTAGGGACGCCCTGAGCTTCCTCTCATTAAAGTAATATTAAATTCTCCAACTTTTTTCAATGATAAAATCCAGATCATACAAATATACATTGCCCAGCAAAGGGTTTATTTTTAAATTTCTGCCCAAACCCAGTCAGGTTTCTAAACAGCTCCAACTCTCAGCCCTGTTTCCCTGAACTTCCTGTCCATTAAAAGATCACAAGGGACCGAGCAGTCTCCAGCAACTGTCCATCTACTAGCTTGGAGGAGAGGGGAGAATAGGGAACTGTGGAGTTGCTTGCCTTGCTCTGTGTGTTTGTGGAGATGCACTCCGCTTACTAACACACACAAGGGTGGCTCCATAGGACCCTGCACCCTAAAACAGGACATCGGGGCCAGTGCTCAGGGGACCAGCGGATTCTAAAGCTTTTAAACATCAAGAAACGGCATCCATTGTAAGTTATTTAATCAGTATTTGGAAAAGCTTGACTTTAATATCACTTTAACATACAATGCTTCTAGATCTTTAACCCTTTAATAGAACACAGTATTCACATCTAGTTTCCAGCATGGTACAGACAGGGTTAATTATGATAACCTCCACAGACCCTTTACATTCCAGAAAATTCCGTTCAGAGAAAGCTAGTAATATGTAAGAAGATTGTTATGTGATCGAGAACATGCAACATATAAAATAGGGGTTATTGCAATTTGCCTGGGAAAGTAGAAATACACTTTAAGGCTCAGTAGTGGTTGTTACTTCTGCCTTGCAGCACCAATGCCCAGGTTTGATCCATGTTGGAGCAGCAGCAGGGAGAGATGCTGGACATTTGAGATGTATCCTAAAATACTTCAACAAAGTATCTCCAAGGTTCTAAGTCCTCAAATGGTTAAGTATTTCTCTTCTCCCCTTTAGGTACATGGATTTCTTCCCCATACCTTCCAATGCCAGCACAGATTTCATGTTTGAGAAAAGCGCCAATTACTTTGACACAGAAGTGGTACCAAAACGGGCAACCGCTCTCCTCCCCAGAGCCAAAGTTATTGCCATCCTGATCAGTCCTGTTGATCGTGCTTACTCCTGGTACCAGGTAAGAGACTAACCAAAGTCATAAGTCTTCTCCTGAACAGCACGGGAGTCACCTGATGTTAAACGGCATTTAGAATAAGAGCTCATTAGAGAGGCTGATTAATTACATCCACAATCTTATATACGAGCTCTGCCGAGCTAAACATTCACTAATGGACAATACAAAGAAATGGAAAATAAAATGAGCTGTATAGATTTACAGAGTAAGCTTACTTTTAACATATTTGATCTTATTTACTATGTCTAAGCAGACATCACCTTTCTCCATTTTCCTCCAGTCCTTTGAGAGATGTATTGGCATCATCAGATCCCCCCTTTTTTTCTGATGAAAAAGTAATTTGTACACTTAGGGTTTGTATCCTGTTACATGTGCATGTTAAGATGATACAAATTTTCATATAATACCAGAAAACATTCACTTTCTACCTTCAGCACATTTCCTTTTGCACATGCTCACAAACACGTCATTGCAGGCATGTGCTATGTCGAAATTAATTTTTACCATAAATGTCTGCTTATTCTTTTGGTGTGTGTGTAGCTTTGTGTGTGTAGCTTTGTGTGTGTGTAGCTCTGCGTGTGTGTGTAGCTCTGCGTGTGTGTGTAGACTGTGTGTGTAGCTCTGTCTCTGTGTGTGTAGCTCTGTGTGTGTGTGTGTGTAGCTCTGTGTGTGTGTGTGTAGCTCTGTGTGTGTGTAGCTCTCTGTGTGTAGCTCTCTGTGTGTGTAGCTCTGGCTCTGCGTGTGTGTAGCTCTGCGTGTGTGTAGCTCTGCGTGTGTGTAGCTCTGCGTGTGTGTAGCTCTGGCTCTGTGTGTGTAGCTCTGGCTCTGTGTGTGTAGCTCTGGCTCTGTGTGTGTAGCTCTGGCTCTGTGTGTGTAGCTCTGGCTCTGTGTGTGTAGCTCTGGCTCTGTGTGTGTAGCTCTGGCTCTGTGTGTGTAGCTCTGGCTCTGTGTGTGTAGCTCTGGCTCTGTGTGTGTAGCTCTGGCTCTGTGTGTGTAGCTCTGGCTCTGTGTGTGTAGCTCTGGCTCTGTGTGTGTAGCTCTGGCTCTGTGTGTGTAGCTCTGGCTCTGTGTGTGTAGCTCTGGCTCTGTGTGTGTAGCTCTGGCTCTGTGTGTGTAGCTCTGGCTCTGTGTGTGTGTGTGTAGCTCTGTGTGCGTGCCTCTGTCTGTCTGCCTGCGTGCGTGCCTCTGTCTGTCTGCCTGCGTGCGTGCCTCTGTCTGTCTGCCTGCCTGCGTGCCTCTGTCTGTCTGTCTGCCTGCCTGCGTGCCTCTGTCTGTCTGCCTGCCTGCGTGTCTCTGTCTGTCTGCCTGCCTGCGTGTCTCTGTCTGTCTGTCTGTCTGCCTGCGTGTCTCTGTCTGTCTGTCTGCCTGCGTGTCTCTGTCTGTCTGTCTCTGTGTCTCTGTCTGTCTGTCTCTGTGTCTGAACACTAATAAAAACATTGCGTAGAAGCTTACAGGATTCCATTCCACCAGCGTACCTCATGTATTCATTATGGAGGTCAGGTTCATGTAGGTTTGTGCCTCAGTGATGTCCCTGCCACTCTCATACCGGTATTTACATCCATTTCAGAGTAGATTTAACAAGAGCCCACCTACCTGAACCACTTGGAAGGAACACCTATGGACATGAGAGGAACATGCAAACAAAGGTTGCATTCAAGGGTGTTAGGCCGTGGTGACGATGTGTGCTTTACATGCTCACATCAACTTCCCCAATACAAAGCAATAAACAAGCGGTGAAAGATGAAATGGATCAGGGTTTCCCTGTCTGCATCCCAGCATGGAAGTGTATCCTGTAGGTACAATACCAGTTACAGTCATAACTTTAGAACTGCAGAAAAGATGGCGTAAGACGTAAGAGAAAAGGGGTCAGGACGAGTGAAGACTTCAAAAGCTGTAGAAGAAATAATGAGGCGTGGAATAATAGTCATTGGGTCTGATTTACTGAAGTGTGAAGTGAGGTGAACCTGCGTTCACTTCAGACATCCAATCCTTTGCAGGGGAATTACATAAAAGAAACTTTTAAGCAGCTCACTTCAAACTTCCGTAAATCAGTTGTGTTTGTGCAAACGTCTGCTAGTCACATCCCACCTGCCTTACACTGCTCAGGAAAGATTCAGGTAGCACAGCTATTGACGAGAGTCCCAATAATGGAAGTCTATCAAACAGCCATGATCACATGATGGCTGTCATAGCATCTCCTGGCTTCTCAGGTGTGCTTAGCTGTGGGGTACGAAGGGGTCTTCATCGATGGTATGAAAATGTTCTTTGAATCATTGTTCATTACAGGAGATTGGGGTTATTGTAGGTTTGTGTTCTTATCAATGAAGAAATAAGATGGCAAATGATTACTAATGCCCAAATTCCATGACCAATGTCAGCCAAAGACATTCTGTGTGGTCCCTATGGTGTAGTGTCCATATGTTTTAAAACACATTTAGTAGAAAGGTCCTTAAAGGTTAATAGTTTAGTGGCATTGCGGGTGTTGGCGTGCTCTCATTTTAATATCCGCTGTCATCATTAGCCTGCTTGAGCAGTTTGCAGCTGCAGTAAAAAGCTCATTATTGCTAAATATATAAGATCAGAGACCTGAAATGAGGTTTAGTATTGATTTAACTATTTGTGGTCACCTACTAAAAGCTTGAAAATTTGGTTTAATTAGTTCTAGCTATAAAATAATACTTTGTATTGTGTGGTGGGAAGTGGCAGGATTTCTACAACCCCAATACAATGGTAGCTAGAATATTGACTAAAGCAATGAAGGCAGATTGTTAAGTGTTCTTTATTTGCTATGTGTAATACTTGGAATATCATGACTCTCTGATGGGGTCTTTACATTGGGGGCCCTGCAGTGTCTGGGAAGAAGTCTGGACCACAGTTTGCTTTGGTTATAAGTATATTAGTGCAGCTATCAAGGAGAATTGCCACATTGGTGCCCACACTATACTGCTATGTGTGTGTGGAAGGGAGGGGGGGCTGGGAAGGCAATAAGTAAGGGAAGGCCAATGGCAGGCAACAGGTGGTAGCTGGTGGTAGGTCCACACTATACTGCTATATGTGTGTGGAAAGGGGTGGGGTTTGGAGAGGCAATAAGTAAGGGAAGGCCAATGGCAGGCAACAGGTGGTAGCTGGTGGTAGGTCCACACTATACTGCTATGTGTGTGTGGAAGGGAGGGGGGGCTGGGAAGGCAATAAGTAAGGAAAGGCCAATGGCAGACAACAGTAGATAGTAGGTAGTAGTAAGTCCTCTCTACTCTTACTAAAGAGTAATAAATAGCTTTGTAAAATACACATTCAGCAGTTCTTGGTTCCAGAATTAGGGTATTTAGAGTGTATTCATTTGTTGAGAGCGCGCGCTTGTAAGGCACTGTCCTCCTCTTTGTCTTGTGTCACACATGATGTTGGTAAAAAACTGTGCACATAAATATTGTAAATGGGGATGAGGTGTAATGTTATACATTAATGGTTGGTGGCTTCATCCTCCATGAACAGGGACTCTTTATACTTTATACTTTTGTTCTGCATAATGGAGGAGTAAATGACTTTGTTTTTCCCTCATAGCACCAGCGAGCACACAATGACCCTGTGGCACTGAACTACACCTTTGCTCAAGTAGTAATTGCTGGATCACATGCCCCACAACAGCTGAAGAACCTTCAGAGCCGATGTTTGGTCCCAGGATGGTACGCTACTCACCTGGAGAGATGGCTTACTTACTACCCACCCAGTCAAGTAAGTCTAATGGTCATACTGTATAGTATTACCAGCTGTAAACTCTACATTTGCATCGTGCCTGTACTATGCTGCTTTGTAAAACCTTTACCCAACATGAAATACTGCATCAAGTGTACTATTTGTTTTTTTTTATATTTCTCCCCAGCTTCATATAGTTGATGGCCAAGAGCTGAGGAACAACCCAGCCGCAGCCATGGACAGTATCCAGAGGTTCTTGGGAGTGACACCACATTTCAATTACACCCAGGCATTGAAGTAAGTCAGCAGTTTAACTCTACAACACGAGGGCCTTGTAATAATTGGGTTTATTATACTTGTTTTAGGAAGTTGCTTCTGCACTGTATCCCCCTTCTCAGCGGTCATCCAGTGTGAGTTCAGTCAGATGGCGGCAGTGAGGGAAGTTTCCTACATCTTTCTCTGGGCAGAATGACATGTTTCAGCCCTGTCTGCTTTTTAAATGTGTCCCTAGTGACATGCCATGTCCCCTAATGAACAGTTGGAGAATAATGGGGATGTTTTTTTGTACTCTCTGTAAATTCCTTATTAGTTAAATGAGTGACACCGTATTCTTTCCACTGGCAGCGCTTGTCTGCTTTTTCTGTTTGTGCCATAGTCTTCACTTGGTACTATTATCAGATGGGTTATGTCATCCTTCCAGGGACGGCCTGCTATGTCCCCCATTGAACTAATCTAGAAAGGAGTTTTCAGCACTAATAAAGACAATCTCACATCTGGGATAAAGAATGTAAAACAAAAATCTGAAGTGTGTTTTTACAAGTGAATTATACGGTTCTGTAAAAAGTGAATAATAATATTGTCTGTTTTTACCACAAAAACCTATGAAAGAGAAAAGCAAATATTTCCCCGATCTATTCAATGAACGGGGCCCTTTGGGTTGGCGTACTCCAGTACTTTTCCTTGCAGGGGATTCAGAATGAAAAGTCTCCTTGAGAATTCTGCATCCCGGCGTTCCATATATTTGTACATCATAATTATATCCTCTCATAGGTGCCTATTTTCTAATGTAAACAAATTAGTTAGCCCGCTCTTTCCTCATAATGCAGCCCTTTCATTCATTCACTCTGACTGACTTCTCCACAATGACACTTTTGTTCTGCCAGTACTTCTACCCAAAGTAAATTGAAAGTGAGGACTTGGCTTGGTTAACCCTTCACAGCTCCAGATAATGATTTTCTAACATTCCTCTGCAGTATATAGGGCACTTTATACAAATGCCTGAAATGGAGACTAGCAGAACACTTTAAAGTGGAAGTTCACCCTGGAATGACTCTGAACATTCAACAGCCATATAACGCATGTACATTGATGAATGCTCAGCACCATGTTTGAGTTCTGTCCGTGCTGCAGTTGTCCAAAAATCAACACTGCAACCTTCCGGCTGTTACCAGCGCCACTATGGAACTCTGCCCCTCTCATGCTATCTACATCTTTGACAGCATCAGGGCCTGATCTTCTTTTTTCTCTGGTCAGTCTGTGACTGTAAAAATGGTGGTACTTGTCCTTTTAAAGCTGGTCACATGTTACCATCTGATGTACAATCTTCTTTTCTTCACTAATAACGATGTAGAGAGGAAGCAGTTGTCTGATTTGGAAAGACGTTGGATTGTTTGGGCAGACATTCACACTCCAGTTCCTAATCTAAAGGAAAATGTTCTGAGATTGTAAAATCAAATTGTAATGCTTAGCAAGCACCTGTTCTTTATGCCCATGTTTCTGATGGTACCATCCAGTGACAGAGCAAGACGAGCATCTATTCCTCTTTCAAAGTGAGGTGCGTCTGTAGCACGCATCGTTTTCAGTGTACTAGAGTCCCTGAAATGTGGTGGTGTCATGAAACGTAAAAGCTGCTGTTGCAAATATTGCCAATAAAGTTCTGTGACACTTAAAGAAGTCTCACTAAATTATTTAAACTTTAACAACCAGGGGACCAAGTGCTATGTGCACTAGGTCACGTTCAAATCCGACCTGCCATGGTTTCAGCGTGGTTAGATATCGGTGGGTAAATAGTCTGGCCATGCTGCTAGCAAGGAGACAAAGCTCTATCACATTGGCCGCCTGCAGCGCTGATTATTTATAATGGTAAGGGAACAGTCAGCTTGGGGGGAGGTGGCTGTACATTCCCCCCCACAAGAACACCCATATATTGGGCTTCTAACTGGAATGGAGCTATGGCCAGCATTAACATCAATAGAGAGGTGCTTTTAATCCACCATGGGGCCACCAATCAGAATGGGACCATGTACTATATATATGTACTTGGTCCCTTTTTGAGGTTTAAATAAAAGTGAAAACGTTTTTGTGAGAGTTCTTTAATTGTTCTGGCAATTAAAAGCAAAATGGTACCATAGTAGTAACAGTACAGAAATAGAACTTGGTAGTCAGCCTGGGGTGGGATTGATGCCATAAATGCTGTTACTGTGTAGGTGTAAAACTCCAGGTAGCCCCTACACACAATTGATGTTACGTTGTATTTCGCTGGTTACCTGGCATTGGATCTGTAGTTTTGTTCAGCTGCTCTCAAGATTTTTATATCTGCTACACACTGCTGGACAACCAGGAAGATCTCAGTACTACTTCTGGATCACCTCCCATATAATGGTAATTCATCACTCAGTGGGCAGGTTGGAAGTAGAGAGTTGCCACGGGAAACTGCTTTACAGATCCAAGAAAAGTGTGTTACCTACCTACCTGGCTGTGTGTGTGTGTGTGTGTGTGTGTGCGCGCGCGCGTGCGCGCAAATGAGAGAGTTAGAAATCCTTTGGCAGGTTAGGCAGCGGGCCTGTATATTGTGCATTTAGTTGTTTGCCTGGAGTGCTACATGTTCTAATGCAAAAGGTTCATGTGATGCAACATTTTCCTCCAGATTAATGTGAACCAAATGCAGAGCTCCATTATGTTACGCCGGATACACATTGATACACATGTCACGTTTACCTTTTTGATGTATATTCTAGGTATGATGAATCAAAAGGATTTTGGTGTCAAGTGGCTGAAAATGGGAAAACAAAATGCCTTGGAAGAAGCAAAGGCCGCAAATACCCCGACATGGAGCCTTCGGTATGTTCTTTACAAGCAACAGCTTCTATATATGTGATATGTAAATCTCCTTGTACATGGGCAGCCATATATTCACATTACACACACAGCTTAGTATTAGAGCACAATGACTCTTCATGGCTCCTCTCACAATGTACCTTTTGGGTCAGATGTGACCGGCTGAAAAACCAGACCCTGTAGAGGTTCCTATAGATACAAGAGGGTGGAACATGCAGGTATGATCTGTGTGGGAAGGTGATCGCAGCAGTCGCCATGTTTAATAACCTGTCATCAATATTCGCCTCTATATCTGACAACCACCTCATTAAGAACTGGTTTGGGCAGCTCTTACCTTAAGTTTAGCTGTGCTCATCTCTATTGTCCTTTACCAAGAACTACTAATGCTATTTTCTGATGTACAGATGATCAGCAGGAGTGATCAGTAATTTTGGATGTGATGGACATTTCTACCTATTGAATATTTTTTGACTTTTGTCTAATTAAAAAAAAAATGACTTTTAGATAAAGAATTCTGGAGCCTCAGCCACCTGGTGAACATTTCAGTGATGATACCATCGTGTATTGGTATGACTGACCTAGGCAGACCAGACATTTAGTACCAAGGAAAATAGAGGCGATTGCCAATCAGATGTTCCCCATCCAGTGCTAATGATGACTAGAGTAACTGTTCTTCTCCACACCACATACTCTCCTCCATGTTTTGTTCATTCACTTTGTGATGTAGAAGAGAGAATAGTACATTCTGTGAGTCATATAAATGTGTCTTACTATTGGATATATGATGGTCACTGAGGCCTGACACGAGATCCGCTGTTCTTTCCACAGACACGGAGCCACCTTGTAGACTTTTACCGGGAAAACAACATTGAACTGTCTAAGCTGCTGAACCGATTGGGACAACCTCTGCCAACCTGGCTGCGGGAGGAGCTCCAGAATCCCAGCAGGAGTTGAACTTGGCCTCCAGGTGGGAGGAAGTGATATACAGTCTTACCAGACTGCTGACCATTTCTTGTCTCTGTGGTGATTATCAGCACTACGACTGTTCATCGTTCCTTGTGGGAGCACACAGACTTAAGTTCTCATTGCTGTGGAATGTGGACCTCTTGTACTGCAATGATGAACTTCACCATGTGACCATAACTGGGCCTCCTGGGACTGGAGTAGGGGGCATCCGTGACTACAAATGCACCTCTTGTGGGAAAGTGTTACCATTTGCTAAGAGTATCATGGTGCCAGAATCACACAAATGAAACTGCCTACTCAGAGGAAGGGCCAATCATGAATGAATGTTCACGGACACCCTTCCTCTGGCATGTATGCCTTTACGTCCAGCAGAAGACACTGGGTTCTTCTGGATGCAAGGTGACTCAAGCTGTGGAAAAGAGCAATTAAGTCCATTTTTGGCACTGGGATGTGTTTTTATTTCTGTTTTCATGTGTTTATAAAAAGGGTCTGGGATCCTTTCTTTACTTTTATTTTTCAAAGGCGGACAAGGTCAAGGCAGCATGCTACATTTGTTGCCTCAGAAAATAGCGGTACTTAGTAAGTCTTCAAAATAAAGCGAACCAATCAAGTTTTCTTAACGATGGTTATAACCAAGGTTCTCCTTTCCACATTGGGCTCGTTGAATGTAAACCGGAATGATCTTGGTGTGACATAGGCTGAATCGATTCAAGTTCCACAATGCCGCTCTGTGTATAGGAAGATGTGGTATAGACCCGATCTACTGGCCACCAGATCTAAACCGAGAAAAAGGTGCATCTTCTGGAAAGCTGGCTTTGTATCTGAGCTGATATCTTTCTGTTAGTATAAATGCTCTGGATTACAGTATTCATTCATGAAGTATTGGAGAACCAATCTCATGCTTAAGCTACACAATGTAAGATTTGTTTTATTTTGCTCAGTCTGTTGTAGGGCCTGTGATTGGACTGTGCATTCCTTACATTAGGCTCACTTTAAAGGAAACCTTTACTTGGGGACAGGTTAGGCTCCTACCCAGCTCTGTAGGCTGCCACCATCCTCTAACCACCAGGATTGGTTAGTTCTAGGGTAGGGATGTCGGTGTGTACAGATGGTTACCACAATGACCTCCAGCACTGGATTGCTGACTGGCTACTAAGGTTTTCTTTAAGGACAGTAACTTGTACTAAACTCCCGGGATCACCTTGTGCCTAGAGTGATCTAAGTTACAACAAGCAGTGTGGCTTAACCCTCTTGTGCATTACTGTCCCCTGGCTGCTTAGAACCTCTTGTAGAAGAACACTGGAGGGCTGTGTACGTTCCAAACGTTCATCCCATAGACCAGGGGTAGCCAAACACTGGTCCTCCTCCAGCTGTGGTGAAACTATAAATCCCATGATACATCTCTCTGAGTGTCATGTCTGTGAGAATGTTGCAATGCCTCATGGGATTTGTAGTTCCACAGCTGGAGGACCAGTGTTTGGATACTACCCCTGCCATAGACTCTAGCTCATACTGAAGGTTGGCACAGGTCACAGATCTTTTGGACAGCTAACATTCCATGCAGTCAGACATTCATTGTCTTGGTTCTGGCTTCCAAGACAGAGTAATGAAAGGCGGAGCAGACACCAACTGTCTCTTTTAATCTGGGGTGGTGATCTCAAATGAAAAAAAAACTTTAGCATGGTTTTAGTACTTAACCTTTTAACTGTCATTCCACAGCAATGTGTTTTAAGGTGTCGGTCTACAAAACATGATGTCGTCTTAACAGACTGTGAGGGGAGGGATAGCAGATGGAGACGGGGCATTTTCCACAAGCTTCTTAAGTTAAGCTGCAGGTATTGTGTATTTTGTAAAATGGTCCATTTACTCTTGTATGTTGAAATGTAAATAGTATGCAATATAGCATTTTATGCCATGTACTTTGTTTTTTCAGGGGGGGGTTACAAAGTGTGCAACCAAAAGCTTAAACACAAGGAAAAAAAAAAAGATACATGTGGTATATTTTGTCAACAAGCCCTCTGTCCCCCGACTGCACTGAACCCTCATGTATTGTGTCATTCACATTGAATGATGATAATGGAGAAATTTTTGGCTCTCGCAGCTGAACACGTCTAAATAAAAGCTAGAAGTAGCATTTGTGGATTCACAAAATGTCTTTCTGTTATTTCTACCATAAGTCAGGACTTGTGCAGTAAGTGCCGACTGTAATGTGTGGCTTGTCAACTCCCGCCTGTGCTGGAGACTCATGTGTTGTGCAAATGTTTACTCTTCCCTTAAAGGAGGACTACAGCCATAAAAATACTGTACACCAATGTGTGTAATCTTTGCTTTCCCCCCTGTGTACATGCAGACCACGTTGTCCAGCAACGTGACATTAGGCCTCATGCAGGCAGGTGTATGAAAAAGCTACATCTAGTATGAAGGATCTTGCATACACATTTCTCTGTGTGCATGTTAGTTTGTACAATGTTTATATACATACAGTGTATAGTGCACACAGGTGCCCTATGGGTTGCTAGGCAGCTCTAATTGCATGCATCCTGGCAACCAAGGAAACCTGGGCGGCTCCAATAGAATGCATGTGTGCTGTATGCAGGTAAATGTTACCACAAATGTTTCCATCAGCATAAAATATGGTCCACATACCCCTAAGGGCCTCAGATGCAGATTTTTTTTTTATTTTGAGTTTATGGATCTGAACACAGCACACGTTTACGGCTGCATGCAGGAGTCCTAGATTCACATTCTCTGGCCCCATTCACACTTTTGAAGCGTATGTATGTATGTATGTATGTATGTATGTATGTATGTATGTATGTATTGTTGTGCATAGGGAGCAGCCCATTCATTTCAATGGACTGCCCCTACATGCAGCAGAGGCTCACGGACCTTTTATTGAACTTTAAGCTTTATATGATTTTAACTGTGCAATTGTTGTGTAAATGGCCACCACTGTTGGTGATCTTGGTCGAGAAAATTAAGCCCTATGAAATGCAGAGAATATCACACATTTCTGCTTTTACAACCTTCACTCATTTAGACATACTGAGGAGCAATACATTAAACAAGTCTGTGTCCTCTGTGTGTGCAGGCAGCTTCCTGAACATTCAGTATAGTCATGACAAATCACTGCCCGTGCCTCAGTACAGAGTGTAGAGGTTGGGCCGAGACACTGTGCTGCAAGCGACTTCTCATCAAAAACACCATCAGGGCAATAATGGAGAGTCACCCATAACAGTCAATCAGACGTCAGCCAAAAAGTGATTTCCGATTGTGCAGAGAGCAGTACAAACTCATCGCTGCCAATGTGGTTGAAGAAACATGGGTTGCTCCCAGTGCTGACCTGGAACAAGCATGCGCAGACAATAGAAGTGTAGATCACATCCCTACTGTCCCCTCATGTAGTGCTTGCTATCCTTTACTGCGCCAATAACATGTCGGGACATCCCTGGGCACCTGGCGTTCCCGGGACATCCCTGGGCACCTGGCGTTCCCGGGACATCCCTGGGCACCTGGCGTTCCCGGGACATCCCTGGGCACCTGGCGTTCCCGGGACATCCCTGGGCACCTGGCGTTCCCGGGACATCCCTGGGCACCTGGCGTTCCCGGGACATCCCTGGGCACCTGGCGTTCCCGGGACATCCCTGGGCACCTGGCGTTCCCGGGACATCCCTGGGCACCTGGCGTTCCCGGGACATCCCTGGGCACCTGGCGTTCCCGGGACATCCCTGGGCACCTGGCGTTCCCGGGACATCCCTGGGCACCTGGCGTTCCCGGGACATCCCTGGGCACCTGGCGTTCCCGGGACATCCCTGGGCACCTGGCGTTCCCGGGACATCCCTGGGCACCTGGCGTTCCCGGGACATCCCTGGGCACCTGGCGTTCCCGGGACATCCCTGGGCACCTGGCGTTCCCGAATACAGCTATCAGCTATAGAGGAATACTAATCTCACTATCCCAGCAATACATTATAGAGCACCATGTTAGGGAAAGTGCAGGCGTACCTGAGCAGTCTTCCAGCAACTTGTTTCTGAGATGGGGCCGGTCTATCGGCGGCTGTCATCCGCCCACACCTGCTCCTCGTTACTTATTCTCCCCGCATCTCTGTGCCGATCGTGTATGGGGGCGGGCGGGGAGGAGGTGGAGCGTGGATGCAGCCGGCAGCGGCTAGCGTGAGGTGGGGAGGAGGTGTGGCGCGCAGCGTGTGTGGAGCCGTGAACAGGGCCAACCAATCGGAAGCCGATTAATCGATGATTGAAAAAGTTGACAACTTTTTCAATAATCGATTTATGCCGATTAGTTGTTGCAGCCCTACTAGCGTTCCTGGGCACCTAGCGTTCCTGGGACACACAACTTCCAGCTTGTGACAATCTGACTACAATACACAGGCTGGGCACAGGGGAGCTGCAGTCAGTCTCTCACCATCATGTTCTCTACACACCTCGTTCCCTCACCACAACAATCAGACAAAGGAAGCAGAGTGGAAAGAATGGTTTCTCTTTTAATTAGGAAACAAAAAAATAAGACACAAAAGCATTAATCTAACAGGAGGGAAAAACAAAAGGACAATACTGCCTTCAAGGTTACATACATAATGAAAGTTGGAAATCTCTGTCTGAATACTTTTGGCTGGTGGTAGAACAGACATCAGTTCTCTCTGACAGAGGATGAAAGAAGCCTCCATAGAAATGCTCTGAGAAGATCAGCCAGGGCCCTTTTCTGTAGAACTGTGAAGGAATCAAACTTCAAACCAGTAATATGGGCCCAATGCCAGAGCAGGGGGTCAAACACAAAAAAAAAACAAGATGGGACTAGACAAACATGC